GTTTTAGAAAATTTCTCTAGTTGAGTCCACCGCAACCACAGTATAACGCCGGAAACATGGGAGGCATGAGACCCCCCAACAATATGGCACCGTATCCTAGACCACAAGGGTACAACAATCAGCAGCAAGGGTACCACCCACCTCAGCAACAGCAGGGTGGAAGACAGGAAGACGGGTTTGCAAGGCTTGAAGCAATGATGCAGCAAGTTATTGGGTCCAATGCTAAAATAAATGAAAGGGTGGATGCACATGATGCAGCTATCAAGAATATTGAGGTACAAGTGGGCCAGATTTCAATGTCACTTAACAATCGTCCTCAAGGGACATTACCTGCAGATACCCAAATCAATCCAAAAGATCAAGGCCTAAAGCAGCTGATGGCGGTGAGTCTACGAAATGGTAGGGATCTAGATGTTGAGCAAGAGAGAGCTCGAGAAAACATACAGGCTGAGACACTAATTCCAGTGCCCATAGAGCTGGATGACTCTACGGGATTGACAGAGGTAACAGTTCACCCTGCTCCTGAAGAAAAGAATATGCAGCAAGAAACTGAGACAGTAGTTGAGCCAGTAATTGAGACAGTAGCGGAGCCAATAGTTGAGACAGTAGTTGAGAAAGAAAAATCTCAAGTGATTGGGAAGAAAAGACCTCCTGCACCATTTCCGCAAAGGTTGGCCAAGCATCAAAAGGAGGAGCAGTATAAAAAGTTCCTAGAGATGCTCAAAAAAATCCAGATAAACATTCCATTGATTGAAGCGCTAAAGGAGATGCCAGGATACGCTAAAATGATGAAGGACTTGATGTCTCGGAAGTTTGACTTTCAAGACTTGTCGATGTGACCCTTACTCAGACATGTAGTGCAGTGGTATCTAGACCTGTTGCTGAAAAGCTATCTGATCCAGGTAGTTTTACAATTCCATGAACTATTGGGAACTATGCCTTTGCTAAGGCACTCTGTGATTTAGGGGCCAGCATTAATCTCATGCCCCTGGTCATTTATAAGAGGTTAGGAATTGGGAGAGCTCGACTGACTTCTATGTTATTGCAGCTGGCCGACAGGACTGTTAAGCGTCCATTTGGGATTCTTGATGATGTGCTTATTCAGGTGGGGAAATTTGTGTTCCCTGCAGATTTTGTAATCTTGGATTGCAAAGTGGATGAAGAAATTCCTATAATTCTAGGACGACCTTTCTTGGCCACGGGGAGAGCTTTGATTGATTGCGAGACCGGGGAGCTTAAGATGAGGCTCAATGATGAGGAAATTATATTCAATGTGCAGAAATCGATGAGGCGACCAAGTGAGTTCGCAAATTGTTCCCTTATTGATGCAGTGGATGTAATTGTAGAGGCT